ATGGCAGTCTAAGTAGCGATACACTGATGTACAAAATTTCTTTTTTCAACCGAAAGTCGTACAGTATACATTATTGACAAATATTTAAATATTACTAAGTACTGGTCTCACAGATCACCATTCGTTTGTTAATGAACTATGACTATCCATGGTCCATAAGGTTTTGACGTGCCAAAAATGGTAGTTACTTTTGAAAGGTTAATTAAAGTTCCTAACCGCACGATTGTGACATTAAGACGAAAAAAAAACAGAATAAAACCGTTAATTTATTTCTTTTTTTGTTATTACCTTCTAAAACACGAGCTGTATCAAAACAAATTGTTCGATCGCTCGTTTTTAAGTGACCACTAGAAACAATCAAACAATTTCTATCTTTCTTCAACAAATTTTACCTGTAATGTGAAAAGTTTTTTAACTAGGTCTACAACTTTTATTTGAAATATTTTTTATACTTAGCTCAACTCAAAAGGTTTATTTTTTAAACAATGTACTCAAATACACTTTATTTGAAACAATTGGAATCAAGACGTTTATTAAAAATGTATAAAACGAGTGCAGCTTCTTTGTAATTCTGTTTTTTTGTATTTTTAACATACTGAAATATACTAAAAATATCACTTAAGTATTTTACTCAAAAGCCGTAAAACTAACGCCATATTCTTTGGCCCACATGTGAATTTATTTTGTTTACGTTTTTTTTAAATTGAAGGGACTGCTAACTAAAATGTTGAGGGTGACCCAGACCAAAAACAGCCTGCTCGATGGAGCCTCCATAGCGGAGGAGCTCTACACAACGCCGAAGGACGGCGAGGATTTCTTTGAGAGTTTGGACAAGCCGGAAAAGGAACCTACTAAACTGGCGCCCAGGAATACCTGTTGGTCGAACACATACCTATTTAATGTTACAGTTCTGATATATATCCATATTTACAGTCATTCGGCCCGGTGTTCTGACCACTGTAAGGGGATCTGCGTACATGGAGTATGGTAATACCAAGGTCCTCGCCATTGTGGCCCCGCCAAAGGAGCTAATCCGCGCCAGCGCCCGCCGGATGAATATGGGCGTTCTCAATTGCTATGTAAACTTTGCTGCTTTTGCAACAGGTGATCTGGAATCGGTGGCGGAACGGGAACGGCACTTAGGCAGCATGCTGACCAAGGCCATGGAGCCGGTTGTTTGTCGGACGGAGTTCCTTAACTTTCAGCTGGACATACGAGTGCTGATCCTGGACGATGATGGCTGCTTGCTTAGTACGGCCATCAATTGCTGCGGTGTGGCCTTGGTGGAGTGCGGAATTTCCACATATGATCTTATTACGGCCTCCACGGCTTGTATTTTTCGGGATCACGTCTTTCTTAATCCCAGTGCCAAGGTCGAGGAACTGTTGTGGAAGCATCGCGGCAACAGCAACACAAATGCCACCTCCAGCACCTCGTCCGTCCAAGAGCACGGTCTGATCATCACCGCCAGCATGGACACCTTTGAACAGATCGCTCAGTGTCAACAGTGCGGATATCTAAGTCCGGCGACCTATGTAAAACTGCTGGACTACACGCTAACCATTAACAAGTCGCTGCGACAGCTGATCAGAGGTGTCCTGACCAAGCGGGTCAAGGAGCAGCACGAACTGGATCTGCGCGAAAAGGCCGAGAGTGCTCTAGAGGATCAGCGGTTGGAGGATATCATCGAGAAGCTTAAGAAGCAGGGATTGGATGAGTTTATCCAATCCAATATCAAGGAAGATCCGTATGTTAAGAGGATTTAGCTAATAAAATTTCGATTTTGTTTCATTTATTTGAGGTGGTACTGGATTTTTAAAGCAATTTTAGGATATCTCTTAATTAAGCACTAGAATTCATAAAGAGATTTAATATATTTGCAGAAGCCTTCCTAGAAATGAACACAATGATTCTTTTGAGTTCCGACAAAACTTTTATTTATACTTTTTGCACTTCCAAAAGTTCCGAAAAGTTCAGTGAAAGAGAAAATATCAAATGCGTAACGCTTCAAAACATCAATTCAGACTTTTATCCTTTCGAAAGTGAATTTTTAGTAACGTAGGGTTTCTATTAATTCCTAAAATGCTTTTTTTTCGCATCTTCAGTGACCTTCTACTGCTGATCCGTGGAGGCCTCGAGCACGGCCCCTGAGTAGGCCAAATCCCAGTAGTGCTCAACCTGGTGCTTCTGAAAGAATTCGCGTGCCATTTTCTCCATTGGAAAGATTTTGAACTTGATCTCGCCAAAGTGCCGACGCTGACTAGTTCCTTCCCAGACAAGCACACACGAATTGGGAACGTCCTGTCCGTCGTTGCCCTTGGCCAGGTCTTCCTCCCACTTTATTCGCGTTAGCATTAGGCGGCGGTACTTCTTCTGCTGCTTGGGGCCACCCTCCACGACGACCACACAGCAATCGCGGAACAGCACAACGCTGCCGGTCATCTGTAGCTGCTTGGCATTGGTCTCCACCTTGAACTTCTTGCTCTGGTTGTCTTGCAGATCGCGTATGCGATACACGCTCACATGCACTCCGCAGCTTGTGTCCTCCTTGAGTTTGCGCTGCTTCTTCTCGCTCTTCTGCTCGCTGGTCAGCTTGCGAGCATTGTTGGCATCCTCGTGCGCTTTCTGCCGCTTAGCCATCTGTTCGCGGACATGCTGCTCCATTTTAGTTGGGTCCTGCACGGCCTCCGAGCCCAAAACGCGCATTAGGTTGGAGATACGCAGCTTGGGCTCTGGTGGGGCCACCAGGCCCAAGCGGATCTTTTCTTGCTCCTCTTTCCAGGCCTCGCGACGGTTCTGGCGACGCAGCTTCTTGCGCTCTTTTTTAGTGAGGAATACGGGCAGATACACCGGCTTCATGGGCTCATCTAAAGGGGAAAGAAGTCAGTTTCTAATAAAAGCATAGTTTGTTGCTTACTCACTTGGCGGCTTCATTTGTGTGGGATGCTCTATGAGGTTGCTTATGGCCGTCTGGCGTATGCTTATCTTACCGCTCGTCTCGTCTAGTGTCTCCAGATCCTGAGTGAGTATGACTGAGTCCCACCACTCCATTGCTGGCACATCGTCAGGCATGTCCTGTTTGGGAGCAATCAACGCCAACTTGGTGGCCGACGAGATGCCCGTTTTCCGGGCTATTTGCGAAATCTCGTTTTGCAGCCGCTCCAACTGGCTCTTCATGCGCATCCTTTCGGCCAGCTGCTGAAATTTGCCGGGCTCATGGAACCGCAGTGTCCTCTTGTTCCTTACCGTGGGCTTCTGGGCTATGCGGTCGTCGAAGTATTTAATAGCCTCATCTTGAGCAGAAGTAGCAGACTCGCTCCGTTCACCCAAGCCCGTTTGCCGCTGGAAAACCTCGCGCTTCTTGGCGCGTATGTTGGCCTTGAGAGTGGGCGTCACCGTGGGTATGTTGATGGTTCTTCCGCTCTTGTCCACAGTGCGTCCCTCCTCGTCCAGAATCAAGGGCTTGGGACGCTCCTGGGCTTGTGCAGCAGCTGCTGCGGCGGCTGCCACAGCGTTGGGTTGAATCAAATTGGCCAAATTTCCAGTGAGCTTGGCCCTGATCTGCGCCTGCAATTCGGCTATCTTTCTAGCCTTCTCCGAGTCCTCCGGCGTGGGTTTCTTGGACAGCGCCTGGGTGGCCAGAGCCACGGGCATTCCAATCGAGGGAACCGATGCTAGAAGGGGATCCTTGTCACGCAGATTACTCAGGGCCCGCTTGCGTTCCTCGATCTCCCTCTGGGCATGGGCCATCATTAGCTTGATCTGCGTGGAACTCAGCGAAGCGGATATGGCCTCCTCTTTCTGGTCACCACCACCATTCTTTTCCAGGACATCGAAGCGGGATTTCTTGGGCGCTTCGATGGCGCCGCTCCCGCCTCCGGAATCTGAGGCGGCAGCGCGCTTTTTGGACAACTTCTGGTCGTCGACGTCGCCATCCTTGCGCGTGATAATGGACGACATAATTCGCAATTAAATGGGTCGGACTAAAAAGTAAAGGTTATTTACCAACAGCTTGGCACATTCCTCGTGCGTTTTAAGCAGCGAATTTGCAAAAGAAAACAAGACACAAGGTTTTTTCGGTGAAAAATTCTTCGAGACAAGACAGGCTGGTTAAACAAATATCAAACAGGGTTGTCTGCACACTGTCAACCAGTGCGACCGTTTTGCTTCGTTTTATCGAATTGCAGCCCTGATTCTCTCACTTTTTTGTCGCTCTCCGCTCCGCCATATTTGTTGAAGCCGCTTACAACTGTCTATTTTTTTCTCGTCGTGTCTGTGTGTGCTTAATTATTTGTTGTGAAAATTAAGCCATTTTCGTGTGCTTAAATAGCTTAAAAGTTGCATTCGACTGCTAGCATGGCATCGGAGGAAGAGAATGACGATAATTTCCAAGGTAAGTGCATTGTTTTAGTCGACCAAAAGTCGGCGTGAAAAATTTCAGTCGGTCGGTTAAGAACCGTGGTCATGTTCAAGAGCCGCAATGCCGCGCGTGCTCCTTCCCTCTCCTATTGTTTGTTGTTTGCTGATAATGCCAATTGGCATAGTTATTATTACCCGCATAAGACACTGTAAATATTAAGGCTAATGGTGAAAATTTCTCATGTGTGGCGCGTTTTTTCTAGGCTTTTGCGCCTCCTCCATTCCACACACATTTATTATTGCATTTTTGTGTTCTCATGATTCGCGAATGCAGGCCGTATAGCCGTCCTGCTCGCACAGCAAAACATCTGTTTTTCATGGTTGTTTTGGGGTCGAATTAAAGCGGGAAATGGTTAAATGGAAGATTTAGATTTAAGCTATATTATAAGTTGTGTAAGAACTGAGTACTGTATCTTACCTGTATTTGACCAAGTGTCAATTAGAAACTAAGAAAATTGTTTTTACATTTCCGATGGTGTGACAGTATTTGCGGTGTGACCGTTTGTCGGTTTACGATATCACATAAGAAAGTGTGCCCCTATCAGGGCTTACCGAAAATCCGCAGACAGCCTTGCATGCCACCATTTACATTCATTGTTGCTTGGACGTGGCAGCCATGACGTGATTTCTGAGTTTTTGTTAAACAGATTACACTCTTAATTGTAGCGAAAACTGTTAATTTAGGGGAATACGTGCATTACTCGTCACCGCCTTTCGTTATTGCCAGTGTAAAGCCAGAAATCCAGTGCGTAATATATCCACTAAAAAAAAGAAGAAAGAAAAGTGTGTGCAAAAAAATAAAAACCTGAAATTACCACAAAATATATATATGTATTGTGTAAGAAAGCAAATCGAGAAGAAAACGAAGCAATAATGTGCATATGCAAAGAAACGAAACAAAGATGCGTGGAATATTGTGGAAAATCTTGTCGCAATTCCACTGACGCACATACATATGTGATTTTTTTTCCACTCCCCCCTTCGCCGACGTGCTCTCTTGATTGATTTCTCCACTCTCTCGCGTAGATGCGTGTCTCTGTATGTGTGCGTGTTATGCACGCGCGTTCCAGCAAAACGTCGCCGTCGCACCGTCTCTGTCGCTCCAACAAAAAAAAACCCCCATTCCGACGCGTTTTAATTAATTTAGACAAAAATATAGTAACCAGAATACAAACATACAAAAGTGCCTGTTAAACAACCAAAGAATATCCGAGAATAGCCTTTTTAACGAGTTAACCAAAATATGCCAGCACACAAGTAAGACGAAGAAGAAGAAACGAGTAGAGTGTGGTGTAAGGAGAGGGGTGACAGTGGAAGGGTGCCTGTCTCTGCCTCGAGCAAGGAAATCGCTGGAATGTAGAGTAGTTGGTACGAAAACCGATAAACAATATGCCGCTGCCGTGTAACAGAAAATAGTATTATCCACCCCAATTTCGCATACAATTTATGTTAATTCGTTCGCAGCTGTTCCTCTTCTGTCTACGTTCCCCTCTCTTCTGTCCCTGCCCCCATTTTCGTCTCTCTTTTTTTCCATTTGACGCTGTTGCACTGTGGGCGTGTGTATGTATATGTATGTGGAAGTTATCCTAGAGAATGAGCGTGGGAGCAACTTTCAGTGTCTAAATTTAACACTTGTCTCCCCTCCCGCTGTTCATTCTAATTGGATTTATGCCCCGCTGTCGTTATCCTTCGATATATCGATAGGATGCTGACTTAATACTCTCACCTCTCTCGTTTGTGACGTCAGCTTACATTTGTTCTTTTTTACTTCTCTCCGATTTCACCATTTGCCGGTTCTGCGATCAATTTTCTATGATTAATGTTCATGTGTAAAGCAGTTGATGGAAGTGTTTATTTTAACACGGTTACTTTACTTCAAGTAAACAATCGCGAATAATGCGACATTGCATAAATTGCAAAAGACTAAAGAGAGGTGGAGGAGGTGTATGTGTGAGTGAGTGCCACTATTTATGCAGTAATGCAATAATAAAAGGGTGTGAGAGGGAGAAGAAGGTATTTGCAGTGACGTATGTATTTTGTCTACGTACACAGAAACAAATAAATGATTTGATGATGTTTCATTATTTAAATGTGGTATGAAGAAACCATTTCGACCTTTTTTATCACATAACTTTTAGAATTAAAATATCAAGCAACATAAAAAAGATTGAAAAAATGTTTGATTTTGTTATTTAAGGCAACATGCTTTACGATTCATTTATATGTCTAAATATCCAAATAGTATAAATTTTAAAAATTTGTGTGAACTAAATTCCAAAAAGTATAAACTTTAAAATATTGGTTTGAACTTATTTTTGTCTGTACACTGAACATTATTGTCGATTTCCCTTTAACTTCAGAATTCCCCCTTCGGATTTCATTTTCACATTAAGAGCTTTGCTGTTGTCGACTGCATAAATCTGCCTCAAAAACCCATATCTAACAACAACAACGTGGCGCCAGCACAAATAAAATCAAAAATTCAATACAAGAAGTGAAAGTATATTATGTGTGTGTGAGCTGCATTTGCCGTCGTATTGGTGGCGATCTTACCTTGCTTTGGCGAACTACAACATGCCATCCCGCTCGCACACACTGCATTCAATCAAGCCAACAACAAGTGGTGCTTTTTTATATCCGCCATGTATATATAAATGTATGTGTGCTGGCATTTCGAAAAGTTTACTTGCGTTTAAAATCCACAAAACTATGAAACACAAATAGGAAAAGTAAATATTATTTAAGCTTTCAATACGTTCATTTCGTTCGAAAATCGCTCTCGCAAATAGAACAAAGTTAGGTCGATTGTGGTTTTTGTTGTTCTTTTCGATTTTGACATTTGACGCGTATCTCGCTCTATCTCTCTCGCCTTTCGATGGGAGCGTGTGTCGCTCTTCCAAAGGTGTTTTTGTTGCTATCGGTTGGAGTACAAAATACACAGACATGTGAAATCGGAAGCATTTGACATTGATTACCGTAATACCTTAGGCTTTGTGTGGTTGTGTGCTTGCTTTTTAATATTTGTGCAACTGCTGGTTGTCTTGATATTTTACCTATTTACAGTAATTGTCTTGTTGTCGCTTGAAGAGAAGGCCGCGTTTCATTTGCTGTTGTTTCCTCAGCTATTTGTTTCGGATTATTCGTACACACATGCAAATACATTACTCTCGCACACTGTCACAAAATTCAGGCAGCAATTGATATTTTTATTTGGAAGTCACCGCCACCGCCAACAAATACACATGCAAAGGTTGTGTACGAGTTATATTATTTTTAAAGCATTCAGTGTACGTACTGGTATGGGAACGTGAAAAGTAATCGAAGCTTATCAACTTTTGAACTGATCACTTTTATCGATTTTTCTTTTTGTATGTGTGGGAGAGCATGATTGTGTTTGCTTTAGGGTTGTCACACTATAAAATCGATCGTTGCAATGATAATTCCATTTTCAAGAGAAACCACATTCCGTTTGAAAATTCACAGCTTTTGTTTTGATATTTTAAAATATGGTGCTTAAATTGAGATTAAAGTCTTAAATTCGTTACATGTTAATATTGTTTCAACTTTCCTAATGAGTTTTTTTAGCTTCGAGTTTTAGCTTCGATTAGATTTTTAATCTTTACCTTTTTCGAATGAACTTGATTTGAACTTAAACCGCTGTTATCAGAACAATGAAATGAGAGAAAATATTTAGGGATGTAATGTAATATTTTCCTTGATATACTTAGATAATAAAATCTCCACAATTCATTTTCTTTTACATATTTTTAATCAGCCTACTTTCCGGTAGTCTCTTTTGCATTTTAATGTTGATTAGCACGGGAGGTGAAAGTGAAGGTCATTAATATTTGCATATGGAAATGTTTACGCAGCGAAAATGCCGAAACATAAATGGTCATATGGCAAATGCCGTTTCGTTTCATGTTGACTCGATTCGTAGTGTTTTTCGCTTGCCATCGGTTGCCATTGAGGTTTCTGTTTCTCTTTCGCTCTCTTGTTTCTCTTTTTTTTTGCCACAAAATGTTGATTTGTTGTTGTTTTAATAGCCTTAACTTAATTGGTTCAATAGTTTTGTAATTGTTATTGGGTTCCGCTTGCGGCCCACAGCAAAGCCAAATTTGTGCTTCGATTGTCACCGAAAATAGGTTTATGGTAACAATTATGTATGTATGTTTTCTGGGTGTGTAAACAGAAAAATATCACAACAGCAAGCGAATCTATCTGTGTCATTTCTATGCAAAAACATGCGTTTCTGTGTCAGCGGATTTGTGTCGTTTCTGTTCTTTTATCTAATTTCCGAATGTTATCGAAATAATCGGTTTAATCGGTTATTTTTGCGCTTCACTGTTGCCTAATTAGCCAATTAGTCGATTGCTAAGCCAAAGCGACAGCTTGTTAGATCAGCATTGCCAACAAGGTGCATTATTGTTGTCGACTACATTGCCATCGCCCACTGTTTGTATATGTTTTTGTATATTCACAGTGGTGGTCAGAGTTGTAGCCCAGAACATCCCAAAAATTATCCATTCAAAATATTAGAACATGATTTACTTTACCTAATTCTTATAAAACAAGAGCTTTCAGTAAATTTCCTTAAACTAAAGAAGGGGTTTTAAAATAGTTTTGTATGGTATCGAATCATGTTTGAAAACTCAATGAATCTGATCAGATTTAACTATAAAAAAATCGCCTTTGATTTTTTTTGAAACCAATTTAAATTGGTCATATTTTCAGAAAACTTGTTTGTTTTAAGTTTTTAATGTGTGAATGACGAATTTAAATTTGAGTACAAAATATACCATAATGACGAATTTCAAAATCATTTTGTTTGTAGTGATTCACTATACTTTGATGTTTATAAGCATAAATTCCTTGAAATAAATTGTTTAAGTAAGCGTTACATTTTTATTCTTTTACTTCAAGTCATCCTACATTTAAAAATAAGAGCTTATCAATGGTAAATTGTAGCTTACAAATTAAAGAGCAACTTTCTTATCAGAAAATTAAAAGCAAATATAATGCTTTTAATATGCATTTTTCAAAAATGATCAGAACATTATGGATTCTTCTTCAACCGCACCTGAATATTTTGTGATTATTGTAATCTGTCGTTAAGTTCGGCACAGTTTCGTTAGCTGAGAAACCAGAAAAACCAACATTAAAATTACCAACCCAAGAGACAAAAACAAAAGTAGTTGACAGCAAGCCCTCGTTTTCGTTGTTATAGTTGCTGTTTTGTTTTTTGTTATAGTTGTTGCCACCCGACTTGTTACATATCGCTACAGTTGTAGTTGTTGTTGCTCTCGCTTTTGCGGCGGTAGTTATATGTACATAAGTATGCAGTGTAGTTGTTGCTTGCGGTCGGTTTAGTCATACTCACGCTCGCCTATAATGTTTATATAATTTTTCGTATCTTTTATTTTTCACATGCATACCGCGCGAGGTTTTTATGGCTCGTTTGTGGGTTGGGTTTTGGGTTTTGTGCACTCAACTCTACAGAAAAACGCAATTCGAGTGCTGACTTTGTTGTTTTTTCAACCCGCTCTTTCTCTTTCGTTTAGATGGTTCAGAAATTGTACTTGATAAGAAATCCAACCACAGCATAAAAAGGGTGGCTTGAGCGATTGCCGCCTGCTGCTCTACAAAAAAATAATTAAAAACATCCAAAATCAATTTTTTGCTTTCAAGTTGAAAAGGATTTCTTCTTCTTAAGTCCATTTAAATGTCTTAAATGTATCTGAGACTATTTAAAGTGTTGAATGGAGTTAAATTTGATTCTGGGCTTATGTTGAAAGTGAAGTTATCTTTCAGTGACAATGTGAATCAATTCGAAATCCC